CTGTCGATATGCTGGTTTATGGAAATATCAATCAATAATCATCCTCCCCAAATTTAGAAAAGCCCTTTCAAATTATGCATTGTTCTTATTTGTGTAACTATTTTATTTCTAAATGATATCCCAATATTCAAAGCCTCATACATCACACACTCAAATCACAATTTTAAAAGAAGTTTTTAAATATTTCTACATGAGATTTTGAATGGCAATAAAGAAGTACTCATGGAAAACAGAAGGTGCTCTTAATAGCAATATATGACTATATTTTGGGTGGACTTAATCCTCCTGCAAGCAAAAGAGGGAGAAAAAGTGATATGTATGCTACCTAATCTAGCAGATAAGCTGAAGTCAAAATAACCAGACACACAAATCACTTTCAACGTTGCAACACACTGTGTTACTCATAGTCACAGTGATACACACACACAAATAACATCAGGCCCAATGAGCTCCAGGAAAGGAGAGCTCATGTACTAAGGTCTGTAATGGTCCAGGCATTAAATTAAGAATTTAGCGAATGATTTATGGTGGTGATTACTGGCACAAATGAAGAAATAAGAAGAAAATACATGGTTAGCAAGTGTCTAAAATAGCATGAGCTATTAGCTATAATGGCAGGAGACGTGGTGATTATACTCATTTTTCAGGTGATGAAATTCAGGCTCAAAAAGTTTAAGTAACTTGCCCAAAGTCAATGAGGTGGTTTCTAGTGAAAAAGAAATCAGTATTCAATGTCAAGTCTGACTCCAAAGTCTACATTTTTTCCATTCGCTTCAAAGTAAAATTCGGTAAAAAATATTTTCCTGTCCAGTAGTTCTGTGAGAGGCTCAAGAATAAAATTTTTTAAACAAGATACTCAAAGATCCTAAGATATGAAATATGTTTACAAAAAGAAGGTCTTAGCAGAATTGAACTGTTTAATTAAAATTTTTTACCAAGAGATTCTAATTGCTTAACATTAAAGTTATTTAAAACATGGTGAACAATTTCAGGACAATGAGTAAACTCAGCCACAGAGACAGGCATGGACACTTTCAGTTTCAGGGTATTACAAGTGGCCAGTGCCTGGCTACAAACCATTGACATTATCCTTCTGGGGTGTCACTAAGGATAATTTGATGACTGAAACCCATTAAATAGAAGGAAATTCATGGACTTTATAGTTTAATATTGAAATTCTTCAAAAGTTCCAGATGGCAACATCCTATTACTCCTAAAGGGAAATTTTTTTATCAGCTTAATTAGGCAGGGTCGGGGAAAGTCCTATTAATGCAAGTCTCTAAACTCTATTTTGATATTACTATACTTTAGCCAATCTTTACCTTGAAAATGAACTTAATGAATCTGCTATTTGAATCAATTTTTCTTTTATATTCAATATGAACTAGTCTCATCAGCTATAGCCCATATTTCCACTGCAGAAGATATTAAATTTTTATGCTGAGTATTTTTTTCTTGAGGACATTCCACTTTTTTAGCATTAACACAAGGGCCATGTTCTCTCATGGATAGGCACACACACACCTCTGGAACTATTCTAAAAACTAAGCTAATTTCTTACACAATATAGCACAAAAGTATAACTTGTTCCAAATCTCCATGGTAAGCTTTAAAATAAAGCCTTACTCACATGTCCTCTTTGACCCACATGTTCTCAGACCACCCAGGAAATGCCTAACATGACGAATAATGCATGGGTACATTTTCTTACATTCATAAACGTCATGGAAACCAAAGAAGCTAAATCACACAAACAACTAAATATGGCCCATTGACTGGAACAACCACAAAAAAAGGCTAATGAAAAAGCAATGCTTATTATCTAGGAAGAAGAGAAAAGTCAATGCTGGTGTAGGCAAGTCACGAAATCCGCCACACTGCCTACTTGGCAGCTAGAACTATCCCTATGACAATGGCCCAAGGTCAATTCTAGCTCAGCACCAGGTTTTTCTCCAATTCCATTTCCAAATGCTTCCATACAACTCTCACTCCAAACACTGTACCAGCTTTAATATTAACTATTTGGGTGACAGTGGGTCTCTGTTTTTCAATCATTAAGATAACTTCCAAAATCTAATTTACTGATGTATAGTTATATAGCCTTCCAAACTTTGATTCCAAAGTCCAAATTTTCAGAAATATAAAATTCAAAGCAAAAAATGTAAGCAGCCATGATTCAGTGAGATTCAACAGAAAAACAGTAAAACCATGTACATTTTAAGTAGTCAATAAACAGATTCTACATGACTCGTGACCCTCAGGCCTTGAAGATCAAAAGGACTAATTTTGACAGTTCCTTTTTTGGGAGTAGATCATCTCAGGAAGAAAACATCATGCCAAATGTTTGTATTTCTCACTTGTATCCCTCATCCTTACTAAAGTGTGTTCACAAAGTTCAACCCCAAGAAAATAAATATTTAATATATAAATATTTTCAATGAGGGTGTATCAGAATCACTTGTCATGATATACACTCTTTCTGACTTGGAAGTCTTCCCATAGATTATGGCAGGTGGTCCCCAAACAGCTTCTAGATGTCAGGCTGAAAATCATTGCTTTGTCAAGAGAATATAATATAAATCAATGAGTGACATGATCCTCTCATACACTGGAAGAAAAGAACACTGAGAATCAATGTTTTAAGAGAATAAGAATTTGGGAAACTAAGAAGGAAACTTTAGACCAGACTAAGAAACAGCCTGTAGCAAAAGGGAAGACTCTGCTCTCCTTTGTCCTATTTTTTGTATGGGTGGCTTTACTTAAACATACAATTCAGATGGAAATAAAAATACATGCTTAGTTTATTTGCCACCCATGAAAAAAACCATACCCACCCAACCCAGAGAGTTCAGAATTATGCAACTCTAGGCCTTTCAAACCAAACCAAGCTCACTCCTTCAAGTTGATTTCAACTCATAGCAACCTCCATTGGGTTCCCAAGGTAGTAAAAATCTTTGCAGAAGTAGATTGCCCCACCTTCCTTCTGCTGAATAACTGTGGGTTTAAACTGCCAACTTTCTGCCTAATAGTCAAATGCCTTAGGCACTGTGCCACCACAGCTCCAGGGGCTTAATGCCACAGTAGGATACATTTCATGTTTTAAATGCTCATCTGTACTGGTTTCTCTAATACACAATTTCATTTCCCAATTGCCTTAGCTCAAATGAAATTTGCTAGCATAAATAAGTATCTAATACTCAACATGAAAAAGTAGCTTTGTTCTCTGCTTCTAGTTAACAAAAATGTTTTTAACTTTACACTAATAAAAGCAAAGAATTAGCTTCCATTATTAATAAGGCAGGAGCTCTGGTAGCACAGTGCCTAAGCACTTGACTGCTAACCAGAAGGCTGGTGGTTCAAACCCACCAGCCACTTCTCAGAAGGAAGATGGGGCAATCTACTTCCGTAGTGATATTGCCTCAGAAACCCAAGGAAAGGTTGCTGAGTCAGGTCCGGCTTGATGGCACATAACAATAATAACAACACATTAATAAGGTAGTTAAATTTAAAACATTTCAGAAACTACTCAAATATATAAAATCTAAGCATAGCATCACCTGCCAAAACCATTTTAAATCCTAAAAATTGTGTAAGTGCAAGAATGTCTGCATTTATAGTCTATATGAAAGAAACTATACCATAAAACCTTATGACAAAAGATATGTTCTCATGTGCTAAAACAATTAGCTTCCAATTACAAATGAATACTAATTATTATAGTTTTGTTTTGTATGAATAAAATAACTCATGAACTACAACTTCGTAGTTATATGACAATTCAGTACAGATATGCATAAAAATAACCCTTATAATATAATATTAATCTTCTTTTCACAATATAATATACTCATCATTGCAAACATGGAAGAATAAATTTAATCAGTTTTTAATAGCTTATAAAAGATGAGTGAGAATATTCCAAAAGAAAAAAAAATTCAAATAAAATTGGCTAAACGTTAATAAAAAAAATACTTTATTCCAAAATTCTTACAAATCTTTCCTTCTTACATCCCCATGTGAAGTGAGTATAAATTGGTATATGCTTTAAAGGAGAATTTTCAAATATCCAGGAAATTTTCAAATGTTCATACCTCTTAACTCAGCAATTTCACTTCCAGGAATCCTATACAATTACTCAAAAATTTTTGTACAATAATAATTGCTGCTATATCATTTATAGGAGCTCTGGTAGCATAGTGCCTACGGCACTTGACCACTAACCAGAAGCCTGGCAGTTCAAACCCACCAGCCACTCCTCAGAAGGAAGGTTGGGCAATCTACTTCCGTACTGATACCGCCTCGGAAACCCAAGAAGGCGTCGCTATGAGTCAGGGCTGACTCGACGGCACATAACAACAACAACAACATATCATTTATAATCACCAAAAAAAAAAAACCTCACAGTAAATAAAGTCACACCATGGGACAGTATATAATTGTTCAAAAGAATGAAGCAGAGGTACAAAGAGTCATATAGAAAATGATATGAGATACGCTACTTAATGAAAAATGTTTTAAAACATTATTTTTATATACTTCCTTTTTTTTAATAATCACACACATACTTATACATGCATAGAGAATGTTGGTGAAAATACAAAAAACTATCAAAAGCGTCCCCTCTGTGGAGCAGAACTGAGAGGGACTGTGAGAAAGGAGTCATATTTTTTGAACAATGTATTATTACCTTACCTTTAAAACTCTTAACTACCCAAAATGGGTATCTTTGGCCTAAATTTAGCATGTCTCTGTTTAATTCATATCCCTGGATTCTTCCCTTTCTGCCATCAAGCTATTAAAAGCAATAGAATCTAATCTATTTAAACTAGTTGGAAGTCCATCTAACAAGCTAACCTAAATTTAAACTACAAAATAATAAAGCAATTTAAAAATTAAAGTTATTCACAATAATGATCTCCTTTATCACACATCTCACTCCCCACAAACTGTATTTTCAGAAAGACAGTCTAGTGAAAATGAAAATCTATAAATGTTCTCACATGTTCTATAGCACCCGCCTGTTCGTTACTATATTCTCGATAGTGTCCAAGCATCTGGTCCACTTGTCGCAGGTTTCGACTGGTGTCCTTAAGAAAGAAAACATATTTTACTAATTCACCAGTCCTTGAAAAAGGGTAGCATGTTTGGTAAAGTAGAGGGTCAGCAGAAAAGGGAAAGGCCCTCAATGAGAAGGACTGACACAGGGGCTATGATGGGCCCAAGTACAGCAAGGATTGTGAGGACGGCACAGAACTGGGGCAGGGTTTTGTTCTATTGTACGTAGGGTCCCATGAGTCGGAGCCAACTCAACAACAATTGTTCCAACCATGGTTTCCCCAATCTTAATTAAACAGCTAAGTCAACAGATTATAAAAGGTATAATTTATACCACAGTTAAGTTGGGTATCAAAGTCCTGAATATCTAAATTCTTTGTTCATTTTTCCCCCGACACCAATTACATTAATTATGTTGGGCAACCATCACCATAAACAGACCAGTTTCCCATCACCACAAACAGACACTCACTGCTTTCTAAACAATGGCTCTCCTTTTACCCTTCCCTCCCATCTCTGGCAACTACTATTAAACTTTGGTCTCTATACATTTGCCTACTCTAGATGTTTCATAAAAAAGAGATCATACATACGAAAACCTAAATCTTATTAACACCCTTGAAAAACTGAAACCCATCTCCTATTTACTTGTGTGAAATCTGAAGCTCATAATTCAAATCCTTATCCAAGATTTCTCTTGGGTGTAGCTCTTTCTCAAGGCTGGGGACTGAGGTAGATGGGCCCGAGGCTTGGAGGCTGAATTTCACTTGGGTGTGGCTCTAGATTAAGGTCAGGGCCTGAGGTAGGCAGGTGCACAGGGATTAGGAACAACCAAGGGAGACAAACTTGTCTGTCAGTTTGTCATCCTGTGGTGGCTTATGTGTTACTTACTGTAAGGCTGGAGGCTATGCCACCGTGTTGCAAAATGCCAGCATGGTGGAGAGGTTTCAGTCGAGCTTCCAGGCTTAGAGAGACTCGGAAGAAGGACGAGGCCATGCACTTCTCAAAGAATTGGCCAGTGAAAACATTATGAATAGAAGTAAAACACTGTCTGATATATTACTAGAAAACTTTATGAACAGCCCTGAAACTCTGACTGACATAGTGCCAGAAGATGAGCCCATCAGGTCAGAAGGCATTCAAAATTTGACTGGGGAAGAGCTGACTCCTGAGAGTAGGGATGACCTTAACAATATGAATAGCGTAAAGCCTTCAGGACCTCCATTGTCTGATGTGGCATGACTCAAAGTGAGCAGAAAGAGATGCAAATATCCATTAATAATTGGAACATGGAATGTATAAAATATGAATCTAGGAAAATTGAAAGTTGTCAAAAATTAAATGGAACATATAAAGATCGATATCCTAGGTATTAATGAGCTGAAATGGACTGGTTTTGGCCATTTTGAATCAGACAACATATGATCTACTATGCCGGAATGACAAATTGAAAAGGAATGGTGTGACATTCATTGTCATAAAGACTGTTCAAGATCTGACTTGAAGTACAACACTGTCAGTGATAGGATAATATCCAAATGCCTACCAGGAAGACCAGTTAATACTACTATTATCCAAATTTATGCACCAACCACCAAAGCCAAAGATGAGAATACTGAAGATTTCTACCAACTTCTGCAGTCCGAAATTGATTGAACGTGCAATCAAGATGTGTTGATTATCACTGGTGACTGGAATGCAAAAGATGGAAACAAAGAAGAATCAACAGTAGCTGGAAAATATGGCCTTTGTGATAGAAATAATACTCGAGCTTGCATGATAGAATTCTGCATGACCAATGACTTATTCATTGCAAATACCTTTTCTCAACAAGTATGGTGGTCTAGTGCATAAGGCATTTGACTGCTAACCAGAAGGTTGGTGGTTCAAACTACTAGCCACTCCTCAGAAGGAAGGTTGGGCAATCTACTTCCATAGTGATACTGCCTCAGAAACCCAAGGAGGGGTCTCTATGAGTTAGATCTGACTCGATGGCAGTGCCTTTGTTTGTTTGTTTAAGGGAAGACTACACACGTGGATGTCTCCAAATGGAATACCCAGGAATCAGATTGACTACATCCGTGGCAACAGGCGGTGAAGAAGTTCAAAACCTTTGGTCAAAACAAGGCCAGGAGCTGATTGTGGAACAGTCCATCAACTGCTCATATGCATGTTCTAGTTGAAGTTGAAGACAATTAAAACAAGTCCATGAGAGCCAAAATATGATCTTCATAATATCCCTCCTGAATTTAGAGACCATTTAAAGAATAGATTTGATGCACTGAACATAATGACTGAAAACCAGAGGAACTGTGGGACAACATCAATAACATCATCCATGAAGAAAGCAAGAGGTCATTAAAGACAAGAAAGGAAGAAAAGACCAAAATGGATGTCAGAAGAGACCCTGAAACTTGCCCTTGAGTGGAGAGTAGCTAAAGCAAATGGAAGAAATGACAAGACAAAAGAGCTGAACAGAAGATTTCAAAGAGCAGCTTGAAAAGACAAAGTCAGTTATTATAATGCAATGTGCAAAGACCTGGAGTTAGAAAACCAAAAGGGAAGAATACGTTCAGTATTTCTCAAGCTGAAAGAACTGAGGAAAAAATTGAAGCCTAGAGTTGCAATACTGAAAGTTTCTATGGGCAAAATATTGAATGATGCAGGATGCATCAAAAGAAGATGGAAGGAAAACACAGAGTCACTGTACCAAAAAGAACTGGTCCATCTTCTTCCGTTTCAAGTGGTGGCATATGATCAAGAACCAATGGAACTGAAGGAAGAAGTCGAAGCTGCACTGAAGGAATTGGCAAAGAACGAGGCTCCAGGAATTGTTAGAATACCCACTGAGATGTTTCAACAAACAGATGCCCCACTGGAGGCACTCACTTGGCTATGCCAAGAGATTTAGAAGACAACTACCTAGTCAACTGACTGGAAGAGATCCCTATGTGTACACATTCCAAAGAAAGGTGATCCCACAGAATGTGGAAATTATTGAACAATATCATTAATGTCACATGCAAGTAAAATCTTACTGAAGATAATTCAAAAACATTTGCAGCAGTATATTGACAGAGAACTCCCAGAGATACAGGCTGGATTCAGAAGAGGATGTGGAATAAGGGATATCATTTCAGATGTCAGATGGATCTTGGCTCAAAACAAAGAATACCAGAAAAATGTTTACTTATGCTTTATTGACTACGCAAAACATTTGATTGTGTGGATCATAACAAATAGTGGATAGCATTGAGAAGAATGGGAATTCCAGAACACTTGATTATACTCATGAGGAACCTGGACATAGATCAGAGAGGCTGTCATTCGAACAGAACAAGGAAAAAGTACATGGTTCAAAATCAAGAAGGGAGTATGTCAAGGTTGTATCTTTTCACCATACTTATTCAACTTGTATGCTGAGCAAATAATCTGAGAAGCTGGATTATATGAAGAAGAATGTGGCATCAGGATTGGAGGAAGACTCATTAACAACCTACGATACACAGATGACACAACTTTGCTTGCTGAAAGTGAGGATGATTTGGAGCAGTTACTGATGAAGATTAAAGACTACAGTCTGCAGTATGAATTACACCTCAGTATAAAGAAAACAAAAATCCTCACAACTGGTCCAATAAACAGCTTCATGGTGGATGGAGAAAAGATTGATGTTGTCAAGGATTTCACATTACTTGGCTCTACAATCAACACCAATGGAAGCAGCAGTCAAGACATCAGACCAAGTATTGCATTGGGCAAATCTGCTGCAAAGGACTTCTTTCAAGTGATGAGGAGCAAAGATGAGAGCAAAGTCTCCTTGAAGACTAAGGTGTGCCTAACCTAAACCAAGGTATTTTCAATTGACTCTTATGCATGTGAGAGCTGGACCATGAATAAGGAAGACCGAAGAAGAGTTGATGCTTTTGATTTGTGGTGTCAGAGAAGAATGCTAGGAGTGCTACGCTCTGCTAAAAGGACTAACAAATCTGTCCTGGAGGAAGTGCAGCCAGAATGCTCCTTGAAAGCGAGAATGGCCAGACTTCATCTCACCTACTTTGCTCATGTTATCAGAAGGGACCATTCCCTGGAGAAGGATGTCATGCTTGGTAAAGTAGATGGTCAATGAAGAAGGGGAAGGCCCTCAACAAGATACATAGACACAGTGGCTCCACGATGGGCTCAGGTACAGCAGGGATTGTGAGTCTGGCAGAGGATCGGGCAGTGTTTTGTTCTGCTGTGCACAGGGTCACTGTGAGTCAGGGACGACTCAACGGCACCTAACAACAACATCCAAGATTCCAGAATCACTGGGCAACAAAATCATCAACTAAAAAAGAATCTTCATTCTAAATTCATGTCCTTCAACAAATGCACACCGTCTTCACAGAAGTCGAATCCTGAAAGAGTTGATCTAATAAACTGTGTATGAGAAATCACTAGGATCAACGTTATTTCAATTATTACTTCATCTCAAATGTTGATCAGAAAAAAAAAAATAAATAAGTAAGTAACTTTTAGCTATCAGTTACAAATTTAGTTGTAATCAAAATGAAATGGTTTTGATTACATTTTGTTTACACTAGGTTTAAACTGAAAGAGCAGTGGAAGTCATTGTGACCCTGCCACCCTTTCCCTGACCTCCTTTCCCATGTCCTTGCCATGGAAGGGACATGATATGCCATCGTTCAAGCATCCAAACACTGTCAAAGGTTAGCCTCTAAATCAAAATGGCATCTCCATATTGTGTTGTTGTTGTTGTTGTTGTTGTTGTTGTTGTTATGTGCCGTCGAGTCGGCCCCGACTAGAGACCCTTCCCTGTGTTGCTGAGGCAGTATCACTACAGAAGTAGATTGCCCAACCTGCCTTCCAAGGAGTGGCTGGTGGGTTTGAACTGTCAGCCTTCTGGTTAGTAGTCAAGTGCCTTAGGCACTATGCTACCAGTGCTCCTATCTCCATATTACTCATCCATAAATGATCTGCCTATTCAAACCCTAAGCAAGTTCTCTAAAAGTCAAAGTCCACTAGGAGCTGAGCTGAACTATGGTAGTTTCCTATCAGTTTCACTTCCATAATACTTTCTTGGAAAATACCACTTTATCACCAACATTCCCTACAAGCTGCCATATGTTTTAAATATCTTTACTAACCATCACAGGCAGGATATCATTGTTGCCAGTTGCTGTCATATCAGTTCATGGCACCCTTACATACAAAAGAACAAAATTTTGCCTGGTCCTGTGTCATCTGTATGATGGTTGGTATGTTTGAGTCTATTGTAACATAACATTGTGACTAAGGTAATTCAATTACTTCCCCTAGGAAGTACCTTACCTAGGGACTTCCCATATTATTAAGTTAAAGACCTGGAAATGGGGAGATTATCCTGGATCATCCAAGAGTACCCAATGTAATCACAAAACTCTTAAAAGTGGAAGAGGAAGGCAGAAGAGTAAGGCATAGTGATGTCAGGTGATAAGGACTCAACCCATCTTTGCTGGCTTAGAAAATGAAAGAAGAGGGTCCTGAAGGAACGTGAACAGTATCTAGAGACTGGAAAAGGCAATGGACTGGATTCCCTTCTAGAACTTCCAGAAAGAAATGCAGTCTGGCCAACACCCTGATTTTAACCCAGTGAGACTCATATCAGACTTTGAACCCAAAAACTGTAAGACAATAAATTTATGTTCTTTTAAGGTACTTGAGTTTATGACAACTTGTTACAGCAACAACAGAAAATTAATGTACCAATAAAATAATGAAATAATGGATCGCTAATGGTTTTTCTGCCACCTAATCCCCAGTATATCAAGTAATTCTTCAGCCTGCTTCAACTTCTCTGAGTATATAAGCCCATCTTTGGATATTTCCTACAGTGAAAAAATTAAAAATATATATGACTTTCAATCTACTGAAATTAACCTACTATGCTGGGAAGACAAATTGAGGAAGAATGGTGATACATTCATCATCAAAAAGAATACTTCAAGTTCTTAAAATGTGTGGAATATGTTATTTTCAAAATGAATATAATTTCCTTATCATCTCTCTACAAGGCACTCTAGTGATGCAGTGGTTAAAGCTCTTGGCTGCTAACCAAAAGGTCAGCAGTTCAAACCGACCAGCCTTCCCATGGGTGAAAGATGAGGCAGTCTGCTTCCACAAAGATTTATAGCCTTAGGAACCCTATGCAGCAGTTCTACTCTCATATAGGATCACAAGGAGTATGAATCAGCTCAATGACAGTGGGTTTCAGTGGGCATCCCTCTCTACATATCTTTAGTGCTATTTATTTAAACAGAGCAAGAAAATCCAATGAAGTTGCATGGATCATGAATGAGCCTAAAATACACATTGTCTTTATTTCCTAAACCATTGTAAGAACTTTGCTAACATATAGTCACAGTTTAAAATTTTATTCTTAACTCCACTTTGAGTTACAGCATAGTGTTACAAAATGCATAGAAGGAAGCTACAAAATAAAATCTGTGAACAAAAATTAGAGGAATAAAGAAATAGCGTCCCAGGCACCTGGAGGAGTTATTGCCATTTAATACTTATCTCTGAGTTTTCTGAGATCTAAGAGGGACACATGTTGGGTTACCATGTTCTTATTATCTTTTTTAGAGGAAGTCATGAATATGTTACCTTACAAGGCAGATATGATTAACTAGAGATTATTCTGGGCCCCACAACTTGTCTGTCACTTTGTTAAACTGAGATAATACTGTGTTATACTGCATGTTGCTGTGATGCTGGGTACCAGCCGGGTATATCAACGGTGAGCAGATTTCAGCAGAGTGCCAAACTAAGACACGCTAGCAAGAAGGACGTGGAAGTCTAATTCTGAGAAAACTGGCCACTGAAAACCTTATGAATAGCAGCAGAATACTGTCTAATACAGTGCTGAAAGATGAGCCCCTCAATTGTGAGGACAGCGCAGGACCAGGCACTGTTTTTTCTGTTGTACATCGGGTCACTATGAGTCAGAACTGACTTGATAGCACCTAACAACAACATGCTGGATTATCCTGGATTATCTAGGTAGGCAATGCAATCATGTTGTTGTTGTTGTTATGTGCCATCAAGTCGGACCCGACTCATAGCAAATAGGTTTCCTTAAAAGTGGAAGAGAGACGTGGAAGAAGTTAGAGTGAAGTGATGTGAGAAGGAGTCCACCCACCATTACTGTTATAAAGATGGAGAAAGAGAACAAGACAAGGAATATGGGCAGCCTGCAGAAACTGAAAAAGGCAACAAAATGGAATTTGTTTTAGAGCCTCCAGAAAAGAATATAGCCTGCCAACACTTAATTTTAGCCCAATGAAACTTGTGTTGGATTTCTGACCTATAGAACTGTAAGATAATAAATTTGTGTTGCTTATAACCACTAGATTGGTTGTACTGACAACAGAAAACTAATAATGATACTATTTATTGTTCAGCCAAAGTGATTTAAAATCTATTAAATTCAACCACTGTTGAATTTAACCAACCTGTAAAGTACTTGTTATAGTGTTGACCTTCTTGGTGACATCTGCTGTAGGGTGATATTGAGTTCCCCTGTGAGGTGACCTTGTAGACCATCGATTCAATTGGTCTTGATGGCGAAAGCAGTCTGAATCACTGGAGGATTCTGCCATTGATGTATATTGATCCTTAAAAATAAATCCAAGGCAAGGTCAAGGAAATAATAAGGAGCATGGAAATAAGAGATTAATTACCTTTTCATCCTTTGGCATACTGTAATTTCTACACAAGTATATAGCATGAAAACACAAAAGCAAGTCACTTCCCCATGTAATTCTCCCTCCTGTTTTCCTCCCTTGAGAGCAATTCCTTAGATATAGTTTCAGTCATTTGCAATTACAAATAATAATTCTTTAGCTTTCCAAATGTTTCCAAATTCTAAAATTCTTTCATATATGGGATCTCACTTAATCCTACCAATGACACTATAAGGTAGATGGAACAGACATATTGTTATCTTTACAGAGAAGGAAAACACAGATAGTTCTTAAACTTGGACCCACAAAAACCAAAAACAAACTCACACACTGAGTCGGATCCAACTCATAGCGACCCCTCCTTGGGTTTCTGAGGGGGTATCACCATGAAAGTAGATCACCCAATCTTCCTTCCGAAGAGTGGCTGGCAGTTGGTGGGTTTGAAACGTCAGCCTTCTGGTTAGCAGTCAAATGCCTCAGGCACTACACTACCAGAGCTACACACACAGGTCTCTTAATATTCATTAATATTAGTCCAATCTCTATTTTAGTATTATTCTAATATTAGAGAACATATATATCTTTAAACACAAGATATAACAGACACACACACAGAATGACCTACAATGAGAGAATCCCATGCAGTGCACAATAAGCACTCTCGTGGACCTTAATTTCAGATCGAGCAGAATTAAACAAGTGCTCGACCAGAGTTACCAATTCTACTGGAAGGAATACATGAGAAGACGGCATCTTCAACATCTCCACCAAAATAGAAAGCAACAGTCTGAGCATAATTGTACCAGTAGAAAATTCTCTAACCATGTTTTCTTCCAATCCTCACCTCAATTTTCTATTTAAGACAGAAAAAAAAAAAATTGTGAAGTATCAAGACAACCTCACAAGAAAACCTTTTTAAAACATGAAGAAACTAAATATATTTAAAACAAATATCAGAGAAAACTGAATTAATCAAAACTTAAGGTTTATTGAGTATTCCCATCATTTCATTTTCTGCTTAACAGACAGTTAACTTAATACTTAATACTAGTTGTTATAATCTTCCTAAAATTTATAAGGCCACTTTTTGCCCTGACTTAAGTTTGGTGTGATAAAACCTTCCTTTAATGACAGAGAACATTCTGGGATTTCTGAACTTTATTTCAAATGCATCTGGAAAATTTACGATCAGAGATATAAGAGGATAATAAAGGAGATTTGCTAAATGTATATACATCTTAGGATATTTAATGAAAGCGATCATTTCCTTTAATATTTTATCAAAAATAAATAAATAAATAAGCAAGCAAGAATCCCTGGTGTGAAGTTAGATTTTCAAACTGAAATAGAATCTGTTCTTGTCATGTAAAAAAAAAAAATTTATTGAAACATCTCAACGTATTCTGTCAATTCCTGGAGTATTATTAATCCCTAATTTATAGAGAATGCTGAAGCTAAGAGATACTACTTAACATGTCCAACTTCCTACAGCAATCACAAGTAGCGCACTCAGAACGCAGACCCAGGCTCCAGCCAGGTTCCTCTACCTTCAATTCCTGTTCGTTCCATTGTGCTTTCCTGTCCCTTGAGTTGTAAGTGAAAAATCTTAAGAGCTAACAAAAAGGGCTAAAGCCAGCAGCAAGGCCAAATGCATTTACAGTCTCCCCAATATCTTCTCAATTCATTTCAGGATAAAAACATCAAAGAAAAGGGTAAGTATTAAGTTGTTGTTGTTATGTGCCGTCGAGTCAGACTCCACTCATAGCGACCCCTCCTTGGGTTTCCGAGGCGGTATCACCATGGAAGTAGATTGCCCAACCTTCCTTCCGAATATGAAATTTTTACTGTTATTAGGTATGATGGAGTTGGCTCCAACTCATAGCCATCCTACATACAACAGAAAAAAACTGAAACAACAGAATAACAGTTGGCTCTGACTCATAGCCATCGTACAAACAACAAAAAAACACTGCCCAGTCCTGCGCCATTCTCAAAATCTTTGCTACACTTGAGCCTAGCATCACAGCCACCTCCTTGAGGGTCTTCCCCTTTCTCCCTGACCATCTACTTAACAAGCGTGATATCCTTCTCCAGGAACTGGTCCCTTCTGACAACATGACCAAAGTACATGAGACGACGTCTGATGAAATCTTGACTAGGCACCAGGAAAAAAACTAAGTGACATATCTATGCTACATTTAATAGAGTCCTGAAATACTTCAAACCATTGGTCTCCTTATTCCTTCTCTCTTCTAATTATACCTTAGATCTGTCTCTTTTATAACAAAATTCTATAGCTAAAAGTATAATTTTCATTTTAACAAGTCATAGTTCTCAAAACTAAATTGAATTCAAGAAATCATGAGCCAAAATAAAAAGATGATATTGAAAAAGCCAATGTATTTACTATATATATGTTGGTAAGAACAAAGAACAAAATAACCATTTTTGGAATTTATTTTCTAAGAGCAGCAAGGTTTTAATGATAATCAGTTACATGCAGATAACTTCAATGAACAAAAAACAAACTCACTGCCATTGAGTCAATTCAATGAATATAAGTGGTATATCAGACTCTTCTAACTAGCAAATAGTTTGAGTTTTAACTTGACTAAAAATAGTTTAAAAAAAAAAAAATCCACTGCCTTCAAGTCAATTCTAACTCATAGCTACCCTATAAGACAGAGAAGAACCGCCCCCATACGATTTCCAAGGCTGTAAATCTTTACAGAAGCATTAGTGCTTCATCTTTCTTCCGTGGAGCAGCCAGTGGGTTCAAACCATCGAACTCTTGGCTAAGAGTTTCAAAAACTTTGAGCAATAAATGATACTCTTAAAGCCAAATTCTTAAAGCACTCCAAAGCTCCTTAAAAATAGTTACTAATGAAAATTTTCTGGTTCTTTTTAAGAATATGGGAATATGGGAGCCGTTTGTTTTTTTAGAAACAGAATGGTCTCCCTATATGCATATGTAATAATTGCTTGAATAAATCCTATATCTTAAAAAAAAAAAAAAAAAGAACATGAGAAAATATTTAAAATATAGAATAGTACGGAGACTAATAAATATGTATTACCATTTGGAACTAATAAATATTATCATTCTGACATGTGTGCTCCTGATATTTTTTAATAAAGGATTTAAAACACTATCAAGTCTTAGTACCTCCCCACCTTGTACAATTTCAGCCGCAGGATAACCACCAGCATGATTCCTGGGTAACCTTCTAGTCCATCTTCTAACGCTTTTACCATGGGCACATGTACCTGACAATTTGTTGTTGTTTTGTTTTGCTTTTTTTCTTTCTTTATTGGAATACATTATCATCAATTGTTCAATATGAATCAGTGATGATATGGGATATCTAAATTTCATGGTAAAATAGAAACCTTAATAGTATTAAATAAATGTGTTAACTAAATTATGTGCAGTTGTTACATAATACAGAACAAAAATTGACTTCTCACTTACCCCTACTAAGGATTACATAATTATAATACGACAGAATATCACACTTTGCAGCCTGAGTTTCACTAGTACCTACATACAAAGTCTTCGGCTATTAATTTCAAAAACTTTGAGCAATAAATGATATTCATACTCCTGTATCTGATGGAAATCCTATGGAAATATCAAGATTTAAGGTGAGATATATCTGCAATTTTAGCCCAGCTTTTTGTTTATTTGTGTTAAGTACATGAAATATCCAGCAGCCACCTACAAACATTAATTACATGTTGTTGTTGTTGTTGTTGTTGTTGTTAGGTGCCATTGAGTCATCTCCGACTCACAGCGACCCTACGCACAGCAGAACGAAACACCATCTTGTCCTGAGCCAGCTCCATGATCCTTTTTATACTTGAGCCCATCGCCACTGCCATTGTGTCAATCCATCTCATTGAGGGCCTTCCCCTCTTTCGTCGACCCTCCACCCTGCCAAGCATGTCATCCTTCTACAGGGAATGGTCCCTTCTGACAACATGACCAAAGTATGTGAGACAAAGTCTGGCCATTCTTGCCTCCAAAGAGCATTCGGCTGTACTTCCTCCAGGACATAAATTTCATAAATGCTGCACTAAAGAAAATTAATCTAATTATAGTAAAAAAAAAAAAACAGATATTAGATTCTTTTCATTGGTGACAAAAACTTGGCACATGCTTCAACTACTGACAATTCAAACAGGCAAACGTGACTCACAGAGCTAGTGAGGGAACCATCGAAACCTAAGTGCCATATGCAGAAGGCAGCTCCGGTAGCAGAAGTCCAGCTACCAAAAGATGCCAGTCTACCATCAGCCAACACCTCTGCTTCCCAAACACAGAACTGATGAGAAGGAGAGAAACAAATGGGAGTCACGTAGGCAGTGAAATTGACAAAAGCCTCACACCACACAACCAGAAGGAGGGGAGAATGTATCCTAGTTGCCATGGAGTTGATTCCAACTCACAGCAACCCTGGAGAACAGAGAACTGCCCCACAGCATTTCCAAGGCTGTACATCTTTTCGTACGCAAACTGCCTCACCTTTTTCCTGCAGAGTGGCTGGTGCTTTCATACCGCCAACCTTTTGGTTAACAGCTGAATGCTTCAACCACTGTGACACCAGAGCACCTGGTAGAATGTATAGAGAACCATAAAAATAGTTTCTGAGAGCCCCTTAAAATAATGAGTCAAGAAGAAAAGCACAAAGCACTATGTGCCGACTACACATTCCTCAGTCACCATTAAGACTTTTAAATAATAATAACTACAATCTAAAAATTAATTTTAAAAACAGAATATTATTTGTCCTAGTATTATTGACATTAATGCTAATTAAGGAAAACTGACTAAACCTCTGAAAATCTTCTCCCCAATGAACCTGTACTTAAAGTATTAGATTCACTACTACGCATTGATAAAAAGTGTACCCAAA